AGTCAGAGGTTATGTAATTTCTTTTTCCTCAGCCATCATTCTGCTCACCTATTGATGGGTTTTCAGTAAAGATGTGTTATTTTCCCTTTTAGGTTTGGCTGCAATAGTATGCCTCTAAAGACTGAGCACAGTGCTCGAAATTTAATTTTTGTAATATAAGCTCAACATTTTGTCTTGTTAACAACCAAGCCAGGTACTCCGAAGGCAAGAAAAAAAGCTCTGGCTGGGTAGCTTAAATTGGTTAGAGCAGTGGTTCACCTTTTTTTGGCCATGCCCCACCTAAGCAGCTCTAAAATCCTGAGCTCCCCCACCCCGTGCCATATAATTCTTATTATTCAAAAAGTGAGCTCCTATTTACGTGGAGGAAGCCTAAAAGGTCATTAACTTGGTCTAAACAAGCTTCCAAAGAACATGGCATCCATGAAAAAGAAAAATAAAAGAACAAAAGGACAGTTGTATTGAGGAAGAAATCACTAAGATATTGTTTAAAAAAATAATATGAAGTGATATGAAAAAATAGCAAAGTTTCAAAACATAACAGAAATGCATAAATAGGTCACAATATATGCTTATATACTGTATATGAAGCTCCTAGAACCACAAGAAATGCATAAATTTCACTGTTAATAACTCATTCTCGAACTGCCCCCCTTAAAAATCAAATTGCCCCCCTGTGGGGCGTGTGCCCCACATTGGGAACCACTGTGTTAGAGCATCCTCCCCCTATGCCAATGCTGCAGGTTTGATCTCTGGTCAGGGCAAATACAAGCATCAACTGATAAATGCATAAATAAGGGGAAAAACAACTAGATTTTCTTCTCTCTCCCTAAAATAAATAAATAACTTTTGAAGGCAAGGGAAAAATAAAAGGCCTAGCATTGGAATTTTCAATGTAATACTCTAAGAACATCAATGAAAAATTACCCACTGCCCTAGCCGGTTTGGCTCCGTGGATAGAGTGTCGGCCTGCAGACTGAAGGGTCCCAGGCTAGATTCCGGTCAAGGGCACATGCCCAGGTTGCATGCAGGAAGCAGCTGATCAATGATTCTCTCTCATCACTGATGTTTCTCTCTCTCTCTCCCTTTCTCTCTTAAATCAATAAAAATAAATAACATAAAATTATTTTTAAAAATTACCCACTAAAATTTCCCCATCAGAGAAATCTTCATCAGACCTAGTAACTATGACACTGTAAGAGAATTCTTAATAAGACAAGCAATTTTTACTTGCACACCTCAGTAAACCAAAAACTGAAATTTCGAATCCTGAAATCTTTCAAATTAAAATATATAAGAAGCATCAAATAAGGGTTCACTGATTATTTTGTTTATAAATCTAAGTAACTTGGGCTAGAGATGGGAGGAATTCACTCAGAGAGTAATTTAAGGTAGCATAATTTGGTTACCTATTCTATAGATCAGTTGTTTTTCTTTCTCTAAACTGTAGGTCAGTACACAGCTGTGAAATCAGTTCAGTAGAAAATGACCTACGTTTTTAAGAAAATGAAAGTGTACTGTAGATGCAAAAAATATCAGTGTTTGCACTTGTATTTGTACAGTGAAAATTGTTTCATTGTATGCACAGGGTCAGAATAAATGTGTTTCTTATTAAGGATCAAGGTAAAAAAAGTTTGAAACGGATCCAAAAGAATCCCAGTACAGAGGCTTAACTCACATGAAATGCAAGAAGCATCTAAAGCAAGTCTACCTTCTTAGAAAACATATTTGCCATTACTTTTGGAAGCCAAACGTAAGATGCAATCAATGATAAAAAAAACAAAAAACAACTTCATGCCGGAACCGGTTTGGCTCAGTGGATAGAGCGTCGGCCTTCGGACTGAAAGGTCCCAGGTTCGATTCCGGTCAAGGGCATGTACCTGGGTTGCGGGCACATCCCCAGTAGGAGATGTGAAGGAGGCAGCTGATCAATGTTTCTCTCTCATCGATGTTTCTAACTATCTCTCTCCCTTCCTCTCTGTAAAAAATCAATAAAATATATTTTAAAAAAAAAAACCTTCATGAAATTTTCCCTTTATCCAATGGAACAATGATCATATCTGAAGAGATAATCATTGGGATTTAGTGATCCATTTACCAAAGGCCACTTCCCAAACACTTCACCCATCTTCTCCCTCAATTTCTAATTGGTAAAAGACTTAGACAAGAAAATCAACTCTAGCATCTGCAATTTTATTTTTTTAATCGCCTGAGGATATGTTTTTATTGATTTGAGAAAAAGAAACATCGATCCTTTGCCTCCCATACACGCCTGGACCAGGGATCAATGCTGCAACCTGGGTATTTGCCCTGACCTAGAATCAACGCCAACCCCTCAGTGCAAGGGAGGAAGGATGCTCAACCAACTGATCTACCCGGACCAGGTCAATAGTTTTCAACTGGTGGAGATTTTGCTCTAATACCCCCCCAAGACATCTGGCAATGTCTGGATACATTTTGATGGACACAAAAGGGGGTAAGGAGAGGTGAGATGCATTCCTCCTACCAGAAATGTCAACAGTACTGAGGTTGAGAAATCCTGTAGACCAAGACTGTAATCTTTTCAAACCTAAAGAAATCACGGAAAGATACCCTGAACCTATAGCCCTTTAGTTTTTATAAACTAAGCAGTTATATTATTAGCATACCTACAATAGTTCATAACCGAATATGAAATAGGTTTGTCCTTTTGCAAGTGCCAGAGAACATGGAAATCCCTCCTCTGTTCACTATAAGCTCAACAAAAATTATCTGTCTTTTATGTTAAAAGGTCTCTAATCATAAGGGTACTTCATATGTAGCTGAACCTGTTACAGTATTTAAACATTTTTCCCTTGACCCTAAATAAATCAGTGACTAGAGCAGCATATATTCTGATATAGCCAAAATGTAATGAAAATTTCTATATTTTGCTAAAAATCTTAGAATAAGCAAAATGGGCATTACCAACAGGAGATGGACTACAAGTAACCACTTTGAAGGAAATATAATCAAAAGACAATAATCTAAGTGATGAATGAATCCTCCTGCCACAAACAACCTAAATATCACCCTCCTCAAGCAGCTTCCTTCTTATCCAAATTCAGAAAATCTCAGAGAAGTAGCAAAAAGAGAGGATCAGAAGCTCTTTAATGTGGTGTAAAGAGACATATGTGGTGGGAAAAGTTCCTCAAAGAAAAAGGCAATGGGAAAGATGAATATATCTTGTAAAGGACTTAGCATGATGCCTAGCAGATACTAAGTACTCAAAAAGTTACTTTTTTATTTATATGTTTTAAACCGAGAATGGCCTTAGTTTCCTAAGGGGAAAACAGCACTCTTTCGCGGTAAAAGGAGAATGGTGGTGAGAAGTACGCGATTATGAATGGAAACAAACAAACAAAAAAACTTGACTTTTTAGCTTAATCTTAATCACAAATTCTTATAATCTCTGCAAAGATTTAAACATTAGAGATACAACTTGCCTCGATCCCACTGTATCATGAAGCTTCCCAAAACTTTCTCTATGTTTTTACAAATATTGAGTTGCCCGTGGAAATAGGCATCATGTAGATTTTTTTCGGATGCCTTTCCACAATACATAGAGCTTTATCCCATTCATTCTAACACTTCAAGGAAGTCTTCCTAATGGAGCTAGTCAAAAACCTCCCTTGGATGGTGGGAAGTACAGAGGTGGGAGAAAATGGCAAACTCAAGGTATCCAGGAGCAAATGCAGTTTCCCTATCAGGGAGGTTTATAGGATGGAGGCCTAAAGGCTTCGTTAGAGAAGTCAGTGTGGACAAAATACCCACCCCCGACGCGCCATCACAGGCATCGAATACCCTTCCTTGCCACCCCAAACCTAAGACCTCTGTCTTTTGGAGCGCTGATTGGACGACCAGCCGAGCGCTCTCCATAGGATGTTTTACTGGCTCCAGATTTGGTCCATCCGTTTAACCGCCCGACTCCCTCATTCCCCATTGGAGTCAAACCGCTGCCTCTGGGAGGAGCCCAACCTACCGCGCGCTTCGTGCTCATTGGCTCAGTGAAATGCTGCTCAGGAGGAGAAAACCCGCCTCCCACATTCCGATGGCCCAAGGGCCGATCAGTCTGCAGCTAAAGACAGACTCAATTGGTCTATACACATGCCAGTCAAATTCTTCGTGGGCAAAGCTCCACAGAACCTGCGGGGGTAAAACATCCGCCCCTGTCCTTCCATTGGTTGGCCAGACCCACCGCTCCCCCTTCACTAGCCCCCACCCCGCGATCCATTCATTTCACACAATAACGGGCTCAATTGGAGTCGGTTCGAGACCTCCCATCGGTAGGCAAGACTGTCCGCCACTTACCCGGGATCGAGACCGATCTCTCACGCAAATGTCTTCTCTGTTTCTCTGTGATGAGAGCCGGACCACAAGCCACCGCTGCCGCCGTCTTCTGCGCAACGCCAACCGCCCGCCAAAACGGATCCTTCCCTGCGCCTGCGCTACCAATCCTGGGACCAGACCTTTTCTCCGCCCATTACGCCTGCGCAAAACGAGGCACAACTCCCGCCATTACGCAGGCGCTGTAGGTTCGCCACCGTCTCCCGCCCGCCATTTCACGTGTTTCTTGAGCCAGGCGGAACTTCTTAATGCGCCTGCGTGAACTCGCCATTTTACTATACATGCGTTCAGCTGGCGGTTGTTGCAAAAAATAAAATTGTCACATTCTACTTTTTGATACATAGTATTAATCATGCTTTGACAACTGAGTACAATGTAACATTTGCAGCGTGGAAGATTAGAATGTTATTTAAATACCCTAGGTATATTTAAATATGAATGATTGGTTGGGTAGCCAATCAGAAGAGTTAAGAATAATACTACTCGGGAACCAATAGTCTCCGAGGGGTGGGCACTGCGTAGAACGCCCAAAAGGGTGACGTTACAGCAATGCGGCACCACAGACCAATAGGAGCAGGAAGCTATGTCAGTTATCCTATCAGAGCTACCAAGGGGCGGAGTCTACCAATGCCGCAAGGGAGGAGGCGGGATAAAAAAGCGAGGCCGAAAGTAGGCTGGCAGATACGCTCCTTAGATCACTCCTTTCTGCTGGTGAACGCCGCGGAGTAAGCATCGTTGGAATTTCCCCTGTAGCAGTCATCATGTCTAAGTCTGAGGTGAGTTAGACGCTCTCTACAACTTCACTTTCTCCCTCGTCCCTTCCTGAGTTCTATGGGATGCAGTGTGGATGGGCTGCTTGCACCAGCCCATTCGGCAGTTCTTGGGTCGCGCCCAGGGCCTACCCCTCCCGAAGTTCAGGTCGCCATTTTGTCCTCGTCGTGGCCATGAGGCCGTCGTCCTGAAACCCTTAGTTATCAGCCGCTCGTTCCTCCCAGTAAGACACTTAGGCATTACACCGATTTTTTTTTTTTTGCTTTGTCTCAGAGGCGAATTTCTTAAAAGCAATTGTAATCTCTTACTGGCAATGGATCCCTCCCACCTAGTCCTTTTGTTGCGCGTGCGTCGGGAAGCAGGGACGCATGCGCCCGCGGTTTCCCAGCCCCAACAGAAAGTCTCCCCCACGGGGAGAAGCACGTGGCCAGTTGCGACCCGCGGGAACAGTATGAGAGCTACCACCGTGCTGTCTAGTTCTGCTTCTCTTACGGGAAAGGTGTTTTGCGTTAAGCGCCCACTTAACGCTCCCCCCCCCCCCATTCTTAGTCTCCCAAGGAGCCGGAGCAGCTGCGGAAGCTCTTTATCGGAGGTTTGAGCTTTGAAACAACCGATGAGAGTCTGAGGAGCCATTTTGAGCAATGGGGAACGCTCACGGACTGTGTGGTAAGGCCTGGAAGAGACAAAAGGGCAGTAGAACCAGTCGATTTTCCTGGGCTTGTCTTGCTCTAGTTCTGTCTGAATGCTTGGGAAAATTAACAGGATTCCAGTTGCAGATAACTTGGGCGGGAAGGTGTGGGCTTAAGTGATTAAAAGGCTTTTATTCCTAGATTTACTCTAGGTGGGTAATGGGAGCTGCAGGGCTTTGTATAAAGGGCCAGTATAAAGTTTCCTGTACCTTATTCAAGGTGGAAATGTCAGTGGCTTTGGGGATCTTACTGTGTGTTAAATGAATTACATCTCAGGTGATGAGAGATCCAAACACCAAGCGCTCCAGAGGCTTTGGGTTTGTCACCTACGCCACCGTGGAGGAGGTGGACGCAGCCATGAACGCGAGGCCACACAAGGTGGACGGAAGAGTGGTGGAACCAAAGAGGGCTGTCTCGAGAGAAGTAAGAGATGCTTTTTCTTTCCCTTGGAAGTGTCCTGTTATGTACACTAGGGATGGCAAGAAACTTCGATCCTAATTTTGGGATAGATCCTGCTCTAACTTAATTGGGGCCTTTTCCCTCTTAGGATTCTCAAAGACCTGGTGCCCACTTAACTGTGAAAAAGATTTTTGTCGGTGGTATTAAAGAAGACACTGAAGAACATCACCTAAGAGATTATTTTGAACAGTATGGGAAAATAGAAGTGATTGAAATCATGACTGACCGAGGCAGTGGCAAAAAGAGAGGCTTTGCTTTTGTAACCTTTGACGACCATGACTCTGTAGACAAGATTGTCAGTAAGTATCAAGTGACATGTTTGCTAAGGGTTCTAAACCCTGAGATACTGTGTTCTAAACCCTGAGATACTGTGTTCTTTTTATCTTCAAATTTAGTTCAGAAATACCATACTGTGAATGGCCACAACTGTGAAGTAAGGAAAGCTCTATCTAAGCAAGAGATGGCTAGTGCTTCTTCCAGCCAAAGAGGTGGGTTTTTTGCTTTTATTAAACCTTAAAGTCCAATTCTAATTTGTATGGTTCAACACTTAAAACTTTTCTTGTTAAGGTCGAAGTGGTTCTGGAAACTTCGGAGGTGGTCGTGGAGGTGGTTTTGGTGGAAACGACAACTTTGGACGTGGAGGAAACTTCAGTGGTCGAGGTATTGGATTATACTCCACTGTTACCAACTAATAGTAAGCTTGTAATTTAATTAACACAGATAACTTGCCCTTTATGTAATCTGTGGCAGTTATTGTAACTACTGGTCAACATTTCCAAAGTTACATTTTATCCAAATGTTCTGACTTCTCACTAACCAGAAGTTAAAGACTCTGGTATGGAAATCATTTTTATAGTGCAGGAACTACTTCCTAGAGTTCATACTTAAAAGGCTGGAATTTGTATGCAATTTATATACTTCAAACCTGCTTTAAAATTTTGCTCTCTTACAGGTGGCTTTGGTGGCAGCCGTGGTGGCGGTGGATATGGTGGCAGTGGAGATGGCTATAATGGATTTGGTAATGATGGTAAGTTTTGTTCGTTGTTTTAGGAATTAGACAAGTGAGAAGGTTTTTTGGCTGTCTACAGAATAGATGGGTAGAAACTAAAACTTGAGTGCATCTAGTGCATGACAAGCTAAACTCTGACCATAACAGCATGATTCAAGCAGGCCGTTTCCCATTAGCCGTAAAACAGATTTTGATTGTTGAATACTTTTGTCTTATTGAGAAGAATTGTATTCTTGTAGGTGGTTATGGAGGAGGCGGCCCTGGTTACTCTGGAGGAAGCAGAGGCTATGGAAGTGGTGGACAGGGTTATGGAAACCAGGGCAGTGGCTATGGCGGGAGTGGCAGCTATGACAGCTATAACAACGGAGGAGGCGGAGGCGGCTTTGGCGGTGGTAGTGGTAGGTATCCAGTGATCCAGGTACTTGGTGCAGTAGCTAGATTAGTCTTGTAGAGTTATGCCCATGTGGGGATGAGATGCTCTTAAAAGCATTATGTGGTACACTGCATGGTACTTTTTAATGGGCTTGCTATGCTACCTCCTAGCTTTAAGCTGGGGCCGCCTCACTCCCAACTAGTTGAATAAGTGGATAGTGGCGTGTTCAACTGGAACTAGATTAGCTGTAGTAGGATTTAGTGTTTTAACTTCTTTGGGACCATAGGCACTTAGTTGATGTATCCAGCATGTGTTTGCAGTGCCCCTGGATGGATAAAGGCCTTCAAGGCTAGAGAATATGCTCTGTTGTCATGGTGAGTTGGGTACTTTTTTTTTTTTTTAAAATACTGGATTATTCAACTGAATGCCTTGTCCAGAAAATATAAAATGCAAAGATAAACGTTGGAGCCATCCGAGTTTGGGAGAAAGAAAGGCAAGGCAGGTCGTGCAACCTCGTTTTTCCCCCCCCAACTCTGAACACTAAATAGATTCAGTACAGCCCTCTTTCCATTCCTAGGAAGCAATTTTGGAGGTGGTGGAAGCTACAATGATTTTGGCAATTACAACAATCAGTCTTCAAATTTTGGGCCTATGAAAGGAGGAAACTTTGGAGGCAGAAGCTCTGGCCCTTATGGTGGTGGAGGTCAATATTTTGCCAAACCACGAAACCAAGGTAGGGTGCATGTATATGTAGTATTAGGGGGCTAAGTGTATTTCTAACTGGTACTGGTTATAAAAAGCTGATTTAAAGCCTTCAAAATACTGAAGTGATTGGTAATTTGCAATCAAATTGAAAATATCATCTGAGCTTAAACTCAGATTTTAACTTTATTGCTTCAAATATAAATGCATTACTATAGATATTTCCAAAAGTTTAAAGGAACAACCCTTATTCGTAGGTGGCTATGGCGGTTCCAGCAGCAGCAGTAGCTATGGCAGTGGCAGAAGGTTTTAATTACTGCCAGGTAAGTAAACATCTTTTTGTATTTTGGCTTAGTTTTCATAATTGATAATGAACCCAGTAACCCTAATGTAGCTAAGCAGTGCAACATAGTTAACATTATAACTTCAGTAAAATTGTGGATATTAAGCTAATAATTCAGATCAGCAAAATTTGTGGGAAACAAAACTTGATATTGGATTGTAGCCTTTAAGTCTTAATATGTTTAGATTAACAACTTTATTCCATATTGTTCAACAGGAAACAAAGCTTAGCAGGAGAGGAGAGCCAGAGAAGTGACAGGGAAGCTACAGGTTACAACAGATTTGTGAACTCAGCCAAGCACAGTGGTGGCAGGGCCTAGCTGCTACAAAGAAGACATGTGTTAGACAATACTCATGTGAATGGGCAAAAAAAACTCGAGGACTGTATTTGTGACTAATTGTATAACAGGTTATTTTAGTTTCTGTTCTGTGGAAAGTGTAAAGCATTCCAACCAAGGGTTTTAATGTAGATTTTTTTTTTTTTTTGCACCCATGCTGTTGATTGCTAAATGTAATAGTCTGATCATGACGCTGAATAAATGTGTCTTTTTTTAAATGTGCTGTGTAAAGTTAGTTTGCTCTGAAGCCATCATGGTAAATTACCCCAACAGTGTGAAGCTAGAATTCCTTCAGGGTGATGCCAGGTTCCATTTTAAATTTACTTACAAACTGCTTGGGCACAGAAGCCATTGTCTTCAGAAACTTTGGTGTAGTTGAATTGACAGTTACTGTGTTGTGACCTGGAGTTCACCATTAAAAGGGTCACCCAAGCAGAGTCATGGAGTTTATTTGGTTATTAATGATTGTTGGCACATCCTATGCAATATATCTAAATTGAATTATGGTACCAGATAAAATTATAGATGGATATGAAGCTTGTGTATCATCCATTATCATGTGTAATCAATAAACGATTTACTATCCTCTTGAATGACAACTGTATGGATTTGGGACTGGCAGAGCTTTGGACTTTCCCTACCCACCACCCCTGATAATGTTGAATACTTCTATCACAATTCAAGTTCAAAGCTTTGCCAGAGAATAGAAACCAGCTGCTGGCTAATGCCACCCCAAAAGTCAACAGATTTAGAGTATTTGGGAGATGTTTTTTAAAATTGGCCAGCACCAGTAAGAAATTCCTACTCCTACACAAAATAGGCTTACATTAAAGGAAAACTGCAGTTTCCTTTGTTCTGGTTGGGTGGGCCTTTATAGAGGTTTATAGATTTTAGCCACACTAGTTGCCTATTTGGAAACAAAAATTATGGGCATGTTTAGGAACCATACTGCTTACAAACATGATGACTGCAGTTTTCCTTTAAACATGGCACAAGATCACACAACCATCCTAAAATGTTAATTGTATGGAAAATGGTTTCTAAATCTTTTAAGTTACATACTATCCAGTCATTGTTATTTGTATATAGGTTCTTTTGAGCCCTCCCCTTTGATATTTTCAGTGCCATTGTACTTACCTAGTAGCATAGAGATTTGTTTATCACTAGGACTGTATTTCATCCCATGGGTGTGTTACTTGGAAGTCTGGGGGCGGGGTGGTGATGGGTGGGAGGTGGAGTGGAGGTGGGTGGGAAAGCATGGATGGATGATACAGTTCCATGGGTTTGATATTGGCTGAGTTTGCAATGGCAGGTGGAACCTTAACTATTGAGGGAGTTTGCAGATACCTCAGGATTCCTGACAATGCCTTTAAAGATCCAGGAGAGATGTTCAGCTACTAGGAACTGCTAGCAAGCATAGCGCGAATGGCTCCGAGCTCAGACACTCTACAGCTGAGAGTAGACACTTGTGGTATGTGGAGTACAGATAAGCCAGGGGCAGGCCACGGCACGCTCCATGACAGCTAGGAGGGAGTGAATTTTCAGTGACCATCGCAAGGAAGGAGGCAGACAAAAGTAAGGCACACCTGACTCTTAGGACTAGCAGTCAGAACCAGGAGGAAAGGTTTTATTGCTATGCTGGTAGGTAAGAACAGATTTTACTTACATCCATATAGTTATGTAAAATCCAGTTTTCTGTTATATTTCCTTATTATATTGAGCCAAAACTAGTCCAGTTAAGCTGAACTTGGTTTTTCTGGAGATGGATTGTTTTAAATTGACACCCTAGCCTTGGTGGATAACAATTGAAGGAAATGAGTGCTTTAACTATCTACTATGAATAATAAATTTTTGGCCTTTAATTTTATTTCCTACTTCTTTGACCCATTTCCTTAAAACAATGGCTCAAAGTAATGCATTAGACTCTTCCCCAAAGTGATGGTGGGAGGGTGGGTGGACCATTAATTGGGGGGTGGGGGACTTAGCCTGAGATGGGACTTTATCTCAGAAAAGCTAGTTCTAAAGGTTGTTTGCTTTTCTAGGGAGGAGTCTGGTACTACAGGCTTATCAACACGTCTTAAACAGAAACTCATCTGTCCAAGCTCATGGCTAAAAGGTAAATTTTTATAAAGCAATGGTAAGCAAATGATTGGTATTGCCAAAATAGAATGACACAAAATAGAATAGACTTTGCCTCAGAACCAAAGTCTTGCTAATCTGATCTAATAGAAATCTGTTAATAAAGCAACTGGATTCCCAGTAAAAAGAATGGGAATCTTTCATCTGCTTGTGTAAATACTTAACTTTTTTTTTCTTTTTGCAGGACGGCCTTATGAGGACGACCTTTATCTGAGCCAATGTGTACTTCATTTTCACTGCCATGCAGTTTTCGTTGGCTGTGTTGCAGCTTGAATTAATCATTCAGTTTTATGAATGGGATTTTAAATAAAATGCTTTTAACTTTGTTTCTTACTTTCATTTTCTCCTTTTCATGATACTTAGGGTAAACTTGACACTGCACCCCTCAAGTTTGAGAATGGGAAATAGAGGAGGTAATGATATACCAGGTGTCTGCTAAACCAGAAAACTTACTAGCAGGATCAATCTAAAGAAACAGGGCCTCATGTAAAAAGTCATTGCATTTTGAACCTAGCAGTTAAGGTAAATGTTTTAAATCACAGGCTGGTGTTCAGATTAACAAGGAAGGATTGGGTTGTGGGAACTGAAATCTGAGAGGCTGGGCTCTCGCTGCAGGGCTGAATTGTGACCGGTAGAAGTACGCTGGTAACTGTTGCTCTACTTGAGAACACATCTTTTTTTCTAGTTCTCCTGGCAAGAGAGAAGTTGTAAAAGCCAGAGCTGCCCCACTCCAGTCTCATAAGAGCTATCCTTATCTGTTAAATTCTGGAGGCGCATAGTGTATATCCTCTTTGGTGAACAAGTATGTATTGGCCAGGTATCTTAGGCAATTTTAGCAAAGGTTTAACATTTTTCCCTGCTATTTTTAGGAGGTCATCCTGCCTCAATTTTAATCAGCTAAGGCGGGGTGGGGTAGCAAGTACATTATCTTGCTGCTTAATCTCCATTTGTGACTTAAAGTTGCTAGATGTGGTTTTTCACATGGTGGTTTGGTGGGATAGGGCAACTTGGGCTACCAGAGTTTACTAAGTACATTTTTATTTTTTTAATTTCCTGGGATGACTGGTTAATAAGAGCTAAAAGCATTCTTATTGAAGAACTTCAACCCTGTCCAGTGTGACTTGGTTGGCTGTTGTCTCATACACCAAAAGGTGGTTGTATTCCATTCCCAGTCAAGGTACATGCCTGGGTTGCACTCTCAGTCCCAGGTAGGGGGACATGCAGGAAGCAGCCAATCAATGTTATACTCACATTGACATTTTCTCCTAAAAATAAAAACAGTTGTATTACATTCTGTGTACTTGGATGGATGCTTTACTGATACAAGTTAGAGGAAATAGATTCGAGGAAGATAATTACCCTGTGCTAGTTCTTCAAAATAGGCTGACATCCAGTCTACTCTCCAAAAGCCTATTCCCCCTGCTTTAAGCACATACCAATGTAGATGGATGGTCTTCGTGGTAATGTGTACATAAGCATGGCATTGTCCTCACTATGTCTCATTCTTTGAACCAGAGCTTATTTGGTGGTCAGTGAATTGTTGCCTTTATGAGCTGGATTAGAATGAAAACTGGTGTCCCTTAGGGCAGCCTGCAGTCACCAACCAGTGGTCCATGAGGTCTGAAAGGTTTGCAACCACTGCCTTAGGGGAGTAATAAGTTCCTGAACAGTTAACCCCAGGCCCTGCCCTCTACAACTTGGTCCCACATGTTCAATTTTTTGAAAGAACAAAAGTTGCCAGCACCGGTTTGGCTCAGTGGATAGAGCATCAGCCTGTGGACTGAAGGGTCCCAGGTTCGATTCCGGTCAAGGGCATGTACCTTGGTTGCGGGCACATCCCCAATAGGACATGTGCAGGAGGCAGCTGATCGAAGTTTCTTTCTCATTGATGTTTCTAACTATCCCTCTCCCTTCCTCTCTGTAAAAAAATCAATAAAATATATTTAAAAAAAAAAAAGTTGACAAGTGTGGACTCTTCAGATCTATTAGGAATAGAAAGCATTACATTACTTTCAATTCCCTAAACTTGGACATGTTTTGCAGAATGTGCAGACAGGAAGATTTCACATCTTTGATCACTTTTCTGCTTTTGTCTCACAACTGTAGTGTCGCTATCAGAATCTGGAAGTAGCCTTTGCCGCTTTGGCTCAGTGGACAGAGCGTCGGCCTGCAGACTCAAGGGTCCCAGGTTCAATTCCAGTCAAGGGCATATGCCTAGGTTGCAGGCTCAATCCCCAGTGGGGGGGCATGCAGGAGGCAGCTGATCAATGATTCTCATCAATGATGTTTCTCTCCCTCTCTGAAATCAATAAAAATATATTTTAAAAATAAAATAAAAATCTGGAAGTAAGGTTTCCCCATTGGAATGGAGCTAGTAAAGTTGAATAGAAGTATAAATAGAAGCAAAATGCCAAAATAAGTTTGTAATTCAGTGCCTGAGAAGATTGGGAACCATCCAACTCCAAGGATATGGAAGTGTCAGGGAGAACTTAGATATGACATCTGAGAATTATTGTTTCAAGAAAATTCTATTGAAAAAGTACACACTAATAAAAGGCCCTTGGTCTTCAAGGATCTAGAAAAGGGTGGGGAACAAGAAAGTGTCTAACATAACTAGGGAGATAGAAAATTTCACAGGCCCTGGCTGGGTTGGGGGTTTAATCCCCAGTCAGGACACGTGTAGGAATCAACCAATAAATGCATGGGTTGGTGGAATGGTGAGTCGATGTTTCCTGTTCTAAAATCAATAAAAAATTTAAAAAAGGAAAAGTTCACCAAAATGCATATGGTGCTCTACTGTGGAGCAGGTTTTACTCAGACTTGGGTGTGAAATCCCCTAAAACAGACATCCAATCAAATTCTCATTCCAATCAAGAGTTGTCTTAGGGAGCTCTGGAATATTACCCCGCCGGGCTGAGGGACTCCTATGGAAATTGGCAGGAGGAGGGAAATAGCAAAAAGGCCTGTGGGTATTCTAGGCTCCTGTGTTCCAAAAATTGAGAGAGGAAAAGCCTAAATAAGCCTCAGGGACCTTGCATAGAAACTCTAGCCAGCTTTGGCAGCAATCTCAGCTCTATAAATAGGGGGCCACCAGGGAGGGTGGAGTTCCTCAGATCATTCACGGCCCCTGGCTCTAAAAAGGATGAAGGTGGTATATCCGCATACTGCTAGAGCCAAAATTGTGCGTGCCACTCTTACAGAGAGCTGTAGGGGAAAGAAATGAGCTTGGCAGGATTTCCTCCCCCCAAAACCAAGAAATGAGCTCTGAGGAGAGCTCCGCTTCATCACCCTCCCTGGAGAAGGAAGACACAGTGGAAAACTATTTCTGTAGAGTGCTTTATAAACCAAAGCTCAAACAAGAGGTGGAGGTTGGAGACCTGGGGAGCTGAATCACAGAAAGATTCCAGCTTTCCCCTCACACACTTGTCTCACAGCAAGCCTCATTGAACACACC